TTTAATTAATTTTAGTGATGGTTTTGAAAACAGAAGGAATGGCGCTAAACTAATTCACATGAGTCATAACTGTGGAATGTTTCTTAAGCGAGATAGAGCCCCTTATGTAAAAATTGTAAGCAATAACCAAACACCCTGTGCACTCTGATTGGTCGAATAAGTCAAGTGTTACTTCTCCTTCCTCTCCACGGCTATTGTTCGTCACAGAACATAAACAAACCGGTTTGGGCTCGTGTGTTTTTGTTAAGTTTTTAATGTTGTAACTGTGTTGGAACTGTAAGAATAGTAGTTTTATTTTGCTAACGTTACTAAATTAGACCCATGTGTGACCTAGAAGCTGCGGTCAGCCAAAATGGCGAAGATAGTGAGGACACAAGCATTGCTACTGTCAACATCAACTAATCAGGGAGCAGTCTATTATTTGCCGTATTTCAAAGAAGCGTATAATTAAAAGCTGTTCTGTGATTGGTCTAATCGTTCAGAATCTTACGAATAGATATACGTCAGTTTATAAATTTACCACGAGACGTCGCAAACTGATAAATTTACGGAAATGTGAGCGAAAAATGAAACAGTTTATCTCTCGTTTAGAACCCTACGAAAGTTTATACATTTCTTAGGAAATTTATCAATTTGAGGTTTTTTGGCCAGTTGAAAATTTTTTATCGAACCTTATAAGTGCTTCATAACTGCTTATCATTCACACCACAAAAAAATAGTAGCCCAAAATAAAATCGAACTCGAGAATCCACTCACTGCATATCCAATGGTTATCGTTAATTTGCTCACAATAGCGTTAACCCTTAACTGTCACGCGATAGAAACTATGTTTGTTAATATAACGGAAGCCTTGAAATCTTGTGGGGTTAAGGGCCGATAAACAACTGTTACACAACCTTAAACCAAGGTGGAGATAGTCCATACTAGATCTTCGATATTTACCGTGTTTTCAAGATATATTTTTATTCATAATTAGTAACTAAAATGCTACATGTATTACCTCTCAATGTCGCTAGGCGAATAACTAAAACGATTTTCCTTTACGAGTTGTGTCAATGTGGCGAGCAAAGTTTGGACTCTTCCTCTACCGTAGATCGCATCAATCTTCTTTCTCTTCCTTAATCTAAGGCGACGAGACTTTTGTCTACTTTACATTAGCAATGTAGAATATTGCTCTAGTTTGTCATGCACAAATCGACGCTATCTTATTCTCGATTCGAGACAGGTGTTAACAAAACTTTCTCGAGTTTATGTTACGTCATGTCGTCGACGTCGATAGGGGTAATAAAATAAGATACAACTTCTATTACCATTTGTAGGTTTTATATTATTTAACCTTTACGCCGCGAGAGGGCTAACTCGACGTCAAGTTCTAGGCTGATTTTTATTAGAAAATTGCAGTGCTCTAATGAACAGCCACGGGAAATTTTTTTTGATCCCGGAATTTAAGGGGCCGTCCATGAATCACGTGATATTCTAAAGACCCTGAAAGAGTTCGGAAAATATCACAAGGGGGCGAAGGGTGTAGTAATACATCACGTGATCGGAAAAAAATATTTTCCTCAAACGCGCGATAACTAAACAGAAAAGGTGGCTTGGGGGTAGTATTAAACCTCACCATGTATCACCAAGGGGGATGCGAGTTAAAAATGCTGTAAACCGTCACGTGATCACGGACGGCCCCTAAGGCGATGCCGAACAACAAAAAGTGTATGGACTAGAACAATAAACGCTCAATGTTGGACTTTATCAATAAGATTAGCACAGAGCAATTATATTATCATTATTCAGTCATTAGCAACACGAATTGTACGTCAAACTAAATAGTTTGTGTTTTGGTTCCAAAGTACTTTTCACGATGCCAAGGTCGAATCTTTAAAATGCATTTTATTTGTACACGTAAAGGCAAATTATAAAGGGGAAGGGTGTTTGTTTGCCTTGAATAGGCTCCGAAGCTACAGTAGCAATTCTGCTAATGTTAGCGTAATTATGGAAAGGCAATAGCGCTTCAACTACAAACCTTTATGTCACAGTTTATCGTTTTTAACAAGTAGTTGAGATTGTATTGAGATGTTTTTGTTAAGTAAAAATCAACAGCATTGAGGCCACGGACCGATTTGAGACATTCTTTCCATTACACGAAGCTACATCATACGCAAGTGAAATAGGTTATAATTTATGCGGACGACAACAGTTAGTTCTAGACACAGATAACCTTTAACCTTATTAAAAATTTGGTTATTTATAGATTTAAATCATCGGCCTTTTATTGTTTACTCACATAACTAACCTTCCCGAAATTCCCATAACCCACGTAGTCGCAATCTAACCAAATTAAAGTTTATGTTACTATAAAAAAATGCAATTACAAAACTTTATTAATTCAAGCTGAGGGTCAAAATTAACGGGCCCATGTCACCCGTGCATGATGTAGCTTCCCTTAGATGAAAGAATTTTAATTTTCACTTGCAATTACAAAATAATCAATAATATTATTGATTCAAGCTGAGGGTCAAAATTAACGGGTCAATCATCTGTTGCATAACAAACCTGTTTTGCGTCGAACGCCTAATTCGAATGCAAATAGGTATGCGTGCAATATGTACGCCGCATCCTACACCGCAACCTTGTTTACGACTAGCGTACAGAATAGATTATATCTATAAATACTTATATTATAAACAGGTAAAAGTTTCTAACTTTGTTTGTGGGTAGGGGTAAATCTTCAAATACTGATTCTCTCATCTACGAGAAACCACAACACATCAACGTATCATATCACAACATACGTTGGTAACATAGGCTATGATTTGCGCAGGCGAAGTCGCGGGAAAACATTTAACGGTTAATATGACAACAGATATTTATATAGGAAAAAGGCACAGAAGGAAAATGTAATATTATCAGAAAATTATAAAAATATGACAGATAAATTGTATCTTTGCAAACGACTATTGTTTTCCGGCCCATTAGTTTCGAGGTCCATTCAACGCAAACAGAAAAAACAATAGAATGAATTCTCTTTTATTTTTAAATATTAGTATAGATAAAATATAGAATACTTTAGTATAGAACATCGAAATATTTCAACCGAAAAATATGCAATATTAATTGAAACATTGTATCGTATCACAAGCTGCTCAAATATACTCGTATTGGTTACTTTTATAGAGAAAAATATAACAGTATGTAAAGTGCATTGGTCTTTCAACAATGTAATGTATGGTGGTGGAGTACAATTGACTTTGAAAACCTACTTTATAAATAAATACGAACATACAATCCACATTAATATTATAAAGAGGTAGAGTGTGTGTGTGTACTTTGTGTGAGGGTAATCTTGGAAAATATCGATCCGATCATGAAAATTATTTCACCTAAAGGAAGCTACATCCTACGAGGGTGACATGGGCTATAATGTAGGGGGCAAAATCTTAGACATAAATAATTATTATAACTAATTATAATAACCTCTGTTTGATCCTAAACTAAAGCTAACTGTGTGGATCTGTTATGGGTTATCTGGCATATTTCTAGTAAAGTCGGCCGGTCAATATTAATAAGCTACCCAAAAACCCCGCGCGATTTCAATAGAAGCTCCTTAATTAATTTTTACTTTTGTTAGGGTCTTTTGAAGTTGGCTTTATTTTTTTATGTATATTATATTCGTTCCTGTACACTCAAGCAAATTCCTTATTGTAATAAAGAATAACGCATACTTCTGTGAGACGCTTCACGGATCGTTCTTCAGATTTGAATCTTTAGGTTAGGTTAGGGGAACGGGGCGAATATGGTCCTTTTTAGGACCGATACCGTGCATCACCTTGTAGCGAGGGAAATCGGTGGTTTTTAATGGGTATGCTACTTTGGGGAATGTTGATGGATTGCCCAGTATGCCACCACGGTGTGCTGCCAGGTTCTCGTATTACAGAATTGCATGGGCGCTTGTATCCGCCAACTCACTCAAGTAGTGACAAATTACCATCTTATCGCTTTCCATGAAAGCCATAATAAACTTATGCCACTAGTTTATTTTTATGTCTTTTGCGTGATGACAACTAAGTTGTCTTCTGTGAGTTTCTGTCACTTCAATGTAAGCAGGAGATAGTTAAAGAATAACTAACAATAAAGTTATAAATAAGTAGAATAAAAAAAATCATTCCCAGATTTTTCTTCCGAGAAAGATAGGACAGGGACTGAAAGTTCGAAAATGTGCATAAACAGTAGATCGGGACGATAAGTTTCTTAAAATTAAAGCCCTCGGCTGCAGTGTCTTGCATTTTATATATTTTTCCTATAAATAAGCTCTACGCATCTCCTAAAACGTCCAGCTATCGAATGGCACCTCCGATACCGCGGTTTAATCACCCAGTTTTGATTTACAAGATGGACATATCCTTTTTTCCATTGTTTCTTTCAATTATTCTTTAGTTTTACTAAATATACATATCACTTTTTAATATGAATATATTTTCCAAATTGCATACTATATTCGAGAGCTAGTCTATACTAATAACACAAATAATTACAAAAAGGAAACATTTCATTGATTGTTTGTTTGCATCGAATAAGCTCCTTAATTACTAGACCGAGTTTAAAATTATTTCACCTACTGGAAGCTACATCATACGCAGAGGACATGCGGTATAATTAACACGGGCGATGTCGCAGGAAAACAGCTACTTCTTAATAATAAGACTCCGATTTAGTTCAACGAACCGATCAAAAGAAAAATATAACCATTATAATGAGAACTCGTAATGAAAACACCTCGTAAATGCAGTCAAAATTAATTATAACGGTATAAGAATCAACCGTAACGTCTAAATATAATAAACCTGTTGCAAACTTGTACAAAAAGTATTATTTAATAGGAAAACATGATCTATCACAAACTCTAAGTGTGCAATTGTGCATTCCGAGGGAACCGTAATTCTAAGCAATTAGCATAACAAGATAAACTGTCTGAGAAAGAGAAAATAGCGTTATTAAGTGCTAACCTTCATCACGAGGTCTGTAAGCCAGGACCTGAGGTCGGTCGCGGCCGTTGTGGTCTCCGGCAAAAAGGTCGTCGTCAACTCCGGCATCAGAGTCGATATCTCGGGAATGACAGTCGACATGCTAGGCACAACATTCGACATGATAGGCATAACAGTCGACATGCTAGGCAACACAGTGTCCACATCCGAAAACATTGTAGTTAAATCCGGCACCACCGTACTACTCGGAAACAAATCCATAAGGTCCGTCACATTCATTTTCAAAATGCAAAATAAAGAGCGTTTTCACTAATAAAACTTTCCAAATATATATTTTTTTCGAAACACGTCCGCTCAGTTCGCGGTCTAGCTCATAACTAAATTCACCTGTATACCAATTCAAAAGAGAAAACCGCTATCGATAATGTTATCATTCAACGATCTCCTGATAAAATATTTATTTCGTTCACCACGAACGTCATACGTGTTGTGGCGTCCGGCACGACCGCGCGTCGTTAGATACGCGACGCGACTACCACACGACCACTCCAATTGACGAGGAAAATGAGGCATCCACGCGAAACTGTGGCCGTGAAAAACACAGAAAAAATATACACTATTATTAGTATTGAATCAATGCCAAAATTGCAGACTGGATTAGGATTCGCGTCATATGGGCAAATATAAATATTTCAATTTTTTTTTAAATTTTGGCTATCGCATCTCTTCTAGTGGAGTATTGACGTCAAAGTTAAGAGCTATATCAGTTTGATAGAAATGATTAAAAATAACTTTCGCGAGTTCTTTTTTCTACTCGCTTTTCCAATCTCCAGTGATCCTGAATTTGTTTTCAATTTCAACACCAATTTCTGAGAACACAAGAAATAATTATCTTTTTTTTTATCCATTGGTTACGCTACCAAACCGGGATTTTTCTTTTTAAGATACATATTTAGTTTATATCCAAAGGTGTTTAGTTAGTGTAAGGTTTAAAAAAATTAGGACTTGTTGTGTTCCAGATTAAAAAATAAGCATATTTTTCGTTTCGATATTCTTAAACTATTTAAGTATAAAAACGTGATATAGTTATCTTAAAACTTTCGACTGTCCCAAGTGCCTAGGATGGGATTCGATCCCACAAGTGTAATCTTTCGCATCACGGATAGCTCTTACCATTGAACTACCCGAGTGAGTATTTTTTGTAATTTCGTTAGAATGGCGTAACGGATATCTCGCACACTAGACGCCGGATAGCAATGATTCTTATTTTCAATTGCTTAGCTTTTAACTTAGGGTATACTACAAATTTCATCAAAATCGGTTAAGGAATTTCGAAGATACAAACAATATTTAAGCCACTTATAAAAAGAGTAATAATTAAACAGACTTATAAGAGCGAGTAAAAATATGATGAATTTTTTAACCGACTTGACTTGAAATAATATTTTGTTAGATTAACTATTTTCAACTTAGCGAACAACATAAGAGAAAACTTACTAAATGACATAAGAAACGAACTGTTACCAGAACAGTAGGTCGATTGATTAGAGCTGAAACCCGAATTAAAAAGAATTGCTTCAAGAATACCTATTGGGTTAGATTAAGTTATAACGGCTGCCACTACAGAAAATGTTTATCCGGTAAATATAAGTATGTTTAAATACAGATGAAGGTGTCCATTTATTATTAGAAGTTACAAGTAAGAATATGGAACCATGATATCTACTATAATTAAAAAAGAAAGAAATAAAAAGCAATTTTTAAAAATTTTATCACCTTAAAAAAAATAATAATACAAATTTTTATCTTCAATAACCAACCAACAATTTTTTTTTTGAGTTCGGTGCCAGATATGTTTAATAAAAATATTATGATTTTTTCAAAGTCGGTTTAATGTTTTACTATGGTATAGGTATCAGAGTATTATTAGATAAACAGTTTTACTTTCGCGTTAATTATAGAGGATTTATGTAAATAAATGCAATATAGCATGCACAATCATTCTTTTAAACTTGTCACAATGATTAATTTTACAAACCACCTGTTAATTACTTACTTTAGAATATTATATTCTCTCTGGAAAATTTTCCACTGTGCCCTATGTCAATATAAAACGAATGAGGTTTACCATCTTTCAAAAATTGCGAAATTTTTAAAGAGATAATGTAGTCGATCCCTGATTTAGACCTGTAGATGTATTGACGACAGGGCAATCAAAAGCGGCACAAAATACTTTTCAACTGCGGTATATCTTTATGTACATATAAACTCACGTAGCTCAATATCACGATAATAATCCTTAGCCTATCTGATTATATGTTCTACTTTATCAATTTGAATATTTTATAGAAGACGCTATATACGGTAAATGTTATTCTGTGCCTCGTTTTGGTTCAAAAAAAAATACGATCACGTAGTATTGAATAAATCTAAAATACAAAAACTCACTAATATCAAACGAATAACCAATGCAGTACTCGACAAACCTAGCCGTCAAGCGTGAATGATATGGATGCAAGAGGTGGCAGCAAGAGAACTGGATTTAATAAGAAACAAAGAATCATGATGACACGCTAATGTGTGGACAAATAAGCAAAATTCGATTAAAATTACGGTTAATATACCTACAAATTTAATGTAATGCAGAGTTAAATCTTTCGATTTATAATGTCCTCCCGAACGACTCCTTTTATAAATTTCTCGAAATCTATCAAGACATAAAGAAATATTATAAAAACACATCCGTTTCCAAAAGAGCCTCTCTACTATCGGTCCTGACACATCCGTTTCGCTTCCTAAATTATTCAAAGCTCGCCGCATGGACTGATGGGTTGTTCCTTGAACATAAGGATATATTTATAGGACGTCAAAATTTTTCTTCGGTGAATATTTTCCAAGAATGACGTCTGACGCTTTACAAATACATCCGCTTAACTTCCATACACTCGTTTTATCAAATATCTAAATCATCTAAATCAACTGGAAGAATCATTACCCAGTTTTATAATTAACAGAGTTGCAAAAACCTCACGACGAGTCGTGCATGACGAACGTACCGTGAAGAATGACGGGTAAAATTAGTTCCTTTCCTAATCGATTAACTTTTAGAAAACAATAGTATTGTAATAACAACTGTGATACAAAGTTATGTCAGAGTAGATTTTATAAACGACTGCCCTCTTTACGGAAAAAAATCAGTTTTTGGCATCAAAATCTTTATCCAGAAATCACAGCTACGCTACTTGATGATTAAATCAGCTTGGACAACAAAGGTCGCTGCCACAGTAGAGCTTCAATGAAATGAAACTTTTATATATAACCTATGCTCATGATATGAACTCATGAGTTAAACGTTGATTAAATTATAATATTGCATTATATACACCAAGCTAACTGCCATATGGACCTAATCTATTTGTTCACGAACGAAAACGCGAAAACTTTTGAATCTTTCTTATAACTTTGTCAAAATCATATCGTGAAGGCTACATGTGTATCAGAGGCAGCTCCTGTCTATGTTGCATTATAAACAAGTCATGGCGTTTCGAAAATAGACGAAATTTTGTTTTCGGAGAAACAGTCATGCAGTCGGAGTATCTGAGGAAAATAAACACATTCCTGATACTCGTATAGAATTGATGCAGTAACGCTGTGTATAAAATATGTAGAGATAAGAAAGAGAGAATGACCTAAAAGATAACGTCGATGAAAAATTGAGCAAGGGCATACTCGTTTAGCGGTTAGCACAGTGTCGAATTCAGTCAGAGCGGGGCCCGTAGCAAATTCCCTCCAAAACAGAAAAGTCTTCCTTTGCTGCTTTCTCAATAATATTCTGTGATTTGAGTTTTATTTGTCAGTCTATGTTCATACTTAAAAATATTACAAGTCAGAAGCGTGGCTTATTTTATTTCTTGCATTATTTAACACTGAATTGAAAAAATGATTAATTGGCTCCCAATTGCGCGGGGCCCCAAACTCGCGGGGCCCATAGCATTTGCTACTTTTGCTACGTGGCTAATCCGGCCCTGGGTAAGCAAGAAGACATAAAAACCTAACAGCGTAAGATATACAGTAAGTTCCTAATAGGACGCATGGCGATTCGCTTAACACAAGTGTTGAATGCTACTTAATTTTTGACATGTGAACAACGTATGTTATTGTTGTATTAATTGATCATATTGTTACGGTTACGATCCCCGGAAAGAAAAAAGTGCTAAATTAGAAAAATATAAGTTTACTGGTTTCTAATTTCACGCGCACTACTCAATAAAAAATGTTGGACAAACTGTGTGAGAAATATCAAATGAAACAAGTTATTTTGAGAACCTTAAAATGCATATTTTTATAATGTTATGAAAAAATATTTTTTTCATCTACAAAACTACTTAGAGTTTTAAAAATAATATCTATATGTAGATTACACGAAAACCTGAGGAAATCTATGATTTAAAATTTAACTATTAAAATTTTAATACTGAACCCATGGTGCACTAGGCCGACTCGCTCTTGATCAATTTTGCCCGCGATCGTTGTCAAGCAACTTTGGGATGCGATGGGTGACCAATCTTATTATCTCGAGCTACTCCGTGCTTCGGAAGGCACGTTAAGCCGTTGGTCCTGGCTACGTTGGCTGTCGTTAATACTCTCCAAGCCGCATTGAGCCAGCATGGAGGGTCGTGGCCCATTCTCCTTAACCACCCATAAGGAAGGCCTGAGCCCCTGCAGTGGGGACGTAAAAGGGCTGATGATAATTACTAGAAACCCGTGATTCAGTCGTATTTAGCGCTAAATACGAGGGCCCTAGGCAGTTGGTCTATATGGATGGGCTGGGCCTAGTCGTATTTATAATATGAAATCATCATAATTTAATGTTTTGTAAGGCAAAAACGAGTAATCATCAAGGCATTTCTTTTTGATTTTTAGGTAAGTAAATATAAATAATTATTATATATATTTATATTAAGTAGGATTATTTTTTAATATTCATAAGGGTTTAGCATAATAAAAAACAAATCTATGTTTTTTGTAATTAAATATGGTTTAGAAAAATAAATCAATATCAATACATTAATTTTAATGCATTAGTAACGCCATCTATTATACTTCCATAGTACTATGTTTCAAACTTTGATACCTAGGTTGCTAAATATATAGTTCCATTTATAGAAAAAAAAACAACACTCATAATTTAAATACAGTGTTTTTTTTTTCATTTGGAGTACAACAATATGTTAATAAATCTGACATAACAGAAAATGCAATCTTACACAATTCATTATAAAGGTCAGTCAATGTCAACACAATGCATTTAAAAGTTGAAACTAAACCTTTAGCAGAATACTGTACTATGTTAAGTAGCTTAATTAACACTGATTTATATCACAATTACAATCTAAACTAGTGATTGAGTAATTACAAAATACATATGCTAGTTTTTTCTCTTCGAATATTGTAATCATACTAATGAATACAATATTTCAAACACACAAATTTTTTCATATAATATCAGTTGTCTGT